ACAGGTACACACATGTAAGCACAATGTTACACACTCAGTCCTACTCAATGTTAGAGAAGGGTTGCTGAAAAAAGAAAGTGAAAATGAGGAAATGAGAAAGAAAACTATCCTCCAATTGTCATCCCTCTTTCTGCCTTGCTTTTCTCTGTCTGCTGTAGCAAAACTCATCTCTGAAGCTTAAAACTCATGCCCTGCTCAGGCTGGTTTAAGGCTACGGTGGAGACAGCGTACTTTTAATCAGCCACACACTCACGGCGTACACTCATTCCCTATTCACTCCATTACTCCTGTCTGTCTTCAAACAAGAAATGAGCTGTCTCTCATTAAGACCCTTGCCCCTGCCTCTCTTCTCCTCCTCGCTCCACTTCCTGGTCGTCTTACTTTCCCTCATGCATGGTCACACATAAAGCATGGTTCTTGTTAAAGAATCCCCCCCCCCCCACACACACACAGAAAAGCTCCCTAATAACAGGAACAAGAGAGGCCAGGCAACAGCCAGCTGAGTTTGCATGTGTTGGGGTCGTGTGTGTTTTTGCTGCCGTTCCTGTTCGGATATACATCAGTAGGGAGGTATTATCCATTGGCTGGATTTGGCTGAGAGTCCCCAGTGGGCGGAAGACAAGCAGGGCATTGTGGGTAGGTGGAGGCTGCTAATTGCAGGGAGAAGATGGCAGTGGTGTTAACACTCGGTCTAATTTTACACCATTTGCAGCTTTGTTTGCCGTGGAGAATGAAACGGGGAAAGTGGATGTTAGCAGGACTACAGCCGCGGGCAGGGGGTTGGGGGGGCAAGGGGGAGTTGTTTTGTAGGTAAATGTCTGCTGATTGGTGGATGAGATCCTCACTCCTAATCATGGACAGTTCAAAGATCGCTTCCTGAATGAAGGTTAAACTGGGTTTGTTATCAAAGTCGGTTTGTGAGCAGAGATTGTTGTTATGGTGTCTTTGAGCCTTTGGGTACGTCATTATAGGGTCCATCCATCCATCTTCTGAAACTGCTTGTCCCAGTCAGGGTTGCAGGGAGTCCAGAGGTTATTGGTGCAAGGCAGGGAACAGCCCAGAAGGGGGCGCCAGCCTATTGCAGAGGGCACTCACACACCTACAGACATTTTGGTAACTTCAGTTAGCCTCAGCATGTTTTTGGATTTTTGGGGGGGGCAGAAACCAGAGGAAACCCCACGACCACATGGGGAGAACAAGCAAACTCCACACACATGGAACCCTGGCAGAGACTCGAACCCAGATCCCAGAGGTGTGAGGTGACAGTGCTAATGCTGGACCACCCCATTACAGGATATCGGGTCTTAATTCTAGAATACTGTACTATTCACTGGACAGCTTTCTATGGTCATAATGCCCAGCTAGTGTTGGTTCTTCGGCGATCCCCTATAAATCGTGTAGACTTTACATTGCTGAGTTTCTGGTTGTTGAGCGGCACTTGGGACAGAGATAGCACACACCTCTGCTGGCATGTTTCTGGGTTTCTGTAGGAAATCTATGGCTCCTCCTGCCGTTGTTGTCGGCTGGTCTACCTGAATTGCGAGTCCACAACCCCTGTACAGACTCAAACATCAGCACAATAGGCGGATATCGGAGTGGGTGAGCCAGCCGATAAGGGCTCGACTGGAATGAGGCTCAGTTATTTTGATAATAGAAGTATTATGAAACAGGGATTGATTTAAACTCTTTAAATTTGTTGTGTTTAAATACTGTGTATTCATTTTGAAGATGAACAATGGACAGAGTACTGTGCCTGTTCTGCAGATGTGACTTCCTGTCTTGCATGTTGGTGGCACAGAGGCACCTGTGGGGACTAATTCTGCTTGGGGCTGTGGGGTTTCTGGAGGCTTTAGCACTTCTGTGTTGGCTGAATAGGTGCAGGTGTGGAATGCCGGTGATCCCGGGATTTTGCAAGCCCACCTTATTGGTTGGGCCCATTTTTTTGTAAAACTGTTTTATTAAACTATTCAGCTCTGAATCTGTTGAGAATTGCTGAAGAGTGAAAAAAAGAATCAAAAATTTGTTTCCTTACGGTTGTTAAATGGGTATTAATGTATTTTGGTGCAGAGTAACTAAGTGTATAATCACTGTTGATTAGATAAATTATTCACAACAATGTGAAAATGAAGAAATAAAAACATATCGTTTGTATTCATTGACTAATACTGTTTTTTTCCCAGCACTGTTAATATGATCTGAACTGTGTGCTTATTCAATTAATAGCTCAATCAGGCCTAATGTGTTGAGGGTACAATGCTTGTAAATCACGAAAACATCAATTTCTAGGTAGTGGAAAACATATTTACATTTATTATATTTAGCAGATGCTTTTGTCCAAAGCAACGTACAAGTTGAGGCAAATACCGCATTACAAACATCCAGCTGTCAAGGAGTCATTTAGGCACAAGTGCAGCTAGACTGAGCTTCCAGTGAACGGCCAGGTACAGCTAGGCTGAGCTTCCAGTGAACGGCCAGGTACAGCTAGGCTGAGCTTCCAGTGAATGGCCAGGTACAAGTGTAAGCAGTACTGGAGCAGGACCTACATAACAACTACACAACAAAGGAGCAGAAGTGCAACACAAGAATTACATATAATAGAAACACAAAAATGAGATGTTAAGAAGGAGTAGGGCGACATTTTATCTTGAGAACCGTTTTCAGTCCATCTCAGACTGCAGTCCTGAACTGTGTGTAGAGGGATATTGGACCACTTTTCAAGAAGAAAAGCCTCCAGTTGTTTGAAGGATGAAGGATGTGAAAATCTACGTTGCATTCTGTGCTTCAAAAATTTCCATAAAGGATCTGTAAAATGACCTCATATTATTCAGCAATTAAAGTACCAGAACAGTCATCAGACATAATGATTCCCGCAAGATGGCCAACCTTACGAAAAGATATTGTCAATTGAAGGTATCGTTTGGCTTTCTTAAAGTGTAAATCCATCTGGATGTAGCAAGTGTGAAAGATGACTCATCAGACAATAATACTTTTTCAGACGCTCAGGGCTCCAGGTTTTGTTGTTATGGCAGGATATTTCTTGCTTTGTGTTTGCCTTAGATCGAAGGGGTTTTTGTATGAATTTGGGCTTTGTGAATCTGACAATGCTACAGATTTTGTGGAAACTGGGTCACAGAGATGCTGATTTGGTTCTTTTTAGTAATTTCTCAGGCTGTAATGTTGTGCTGCTTAGCAACCATACCGTTAAGTGTCTGTCCCTCTGTGTCAGAGAGCTTCGATGATCGACCACTGTTCCGTTTTGCTATTGCAGTTTGTCACTGTTTGGCATGTGCCATCACGATGATTAAGAGTGTTCCCCATCAGGCTCTGGTTCTGAAAGCCACACGGAATGACAGACTGACATGTTGCGGTATTGGGGAGTGATGATGATGATGATGATTATCAACATTGCTCTTTAGCTCAGCGGGTAGCACTGTGGTCTCATACCGTCATGGTTAGGTGAATTTTTATCTCTAAATTGGTTGATGTCAGGCCTAGCTTCTATCCAATCATAAGCTTGGCCCACTTGCCAGCCGTGGGAAGAGTGAAACAGCCAAAGCTATAAAATCTGGCCCTCAAGCTTTAACCCCGGCCCCTCTAGATGATCAGCGGTCCACCCAACAATTCAAAGTTGGAGTCAGGCCTGCTCATAGTGTGTGAATTGAGCTCCGCGACGCCATCCTATCCAGCGAGTCTCCCTGCCTCGTCCCATGTGCTTCCTGGGAGTAGCTCCAGGCTTGTCGCGACCCTGCACGTGGGTCATTGGCTATGCAAGATGGGGGGATGGATTATGCTTATTATTAGTATTATTGTTAGTTACAATTGTTGTCCGGAGTGGCCTTGATGGAGTGCAAGCACAATTAAGTTGGTTACTGCATTGTCTGCTGCTTCATTTCTCTTTCGATACACATCGAGCTTTACAGAGTCTGTATAGTCAAGCGGGAACCGGCCGGCAAATAAAATGAAGAAGCAGGTGGAACATATGGGCCAAGGGATGAGGTGGCTGCACTTTTCTCACTCGATATGACGTGTGTGAGGAAATACGACCACAACTGTGCACACTGACCTAAGTAACGAGGAAAAATAAACTTGTTATCAGGCGAGGAAACGCTAAGCCAGTGTCAACACTGGTGTGAATATACAGGGGGAGGCGGAGAGGTGGACTGGCAACGCTGTGATTGGTGCAGAGAGGGGTGGAAAATACAGGAAACAGGAAAGACCCTTTTCTGCTCAAGGACTCTAATGTACACCAGGCGCTGCATGCCAAACTGCCGCGCAGATGTATGTAGCACAGACTCGAGAGCATCGCCACAAGTGGCAAAGAAACCCAATGATGGTCGTGTCTGTGCTTGTGCTCATTCTAAGTGAGAAGTAGGTACTCTAGTAGGCTAGAATATCTAGTACATATGCTCTGCTGATTATTAAGCTAAACCCAGAAGAAACATACATGGATTATAATGTATTAGGATTAAACCAGTCTAAACAGAAACACATTTTTGTCAACATGAAATAGAGTATAATATTAAATCATCTAGTATTTAGAACTGTATTTTTTCAAAGATGCATTAGCATAGCAAAGTCAATGGTCACCAAGCTTCAGGTTTGTATTATGCTCACGTAGCGGTTAACGCCTGGTTATTTTTTACTAATATTCAGGTGGATAAATTGGATGTTGAAATTCACACTGTATAACACAGAGAGATGTATGGACGCTGTTATTAGCTTACATAATGTGGTGAAATCCTGCATTTGCTTAGAGAGACGGAGTGTTTTGCTAGAGCATTGGTGCTACAACCTAATGCTTCAGTGCTTAGTTCTCCTGTGGCACCAGATGGACGCCTCAGTGACAGATTTGGGGTTTGGAAAATATGCAGGATGGGGAGGGGTTGGTCAGAGAAATGCCAGGAGGGTCGGGAGAGAGGCCGTTGTCAAAACCCGGCAACCGTTCAGTGGCAGGAAACGCGACAGTGAATCAGTCTGGTTTCTCTGTCTTTCTCTTTCAGGAACGGCTCTGACCGGCGGCCCGGCACAAGCAGACTGATGCGGCACGTTAACAGACAAACCGACTGACACTCAGACCAAACAGACAACCTTAAAGGCACTTAATCACACTCCGGGGCCGATTGACCGATAAGCGGCCTGACTGACTCAGGTACTACCAAAGTGTTGCGAGACACGCTTATCAAGAGACGCAGTACACGGCCCAGCACACTGACGCGCTGAAAGGGGTCCAGTATAAATGGCTGACAAGCAGATAAGGTAAGTGCGAACTGTCAGGGGAGGCGTTTTTAATTAATTAGTATTAATTAGCCGGAAAATTAAGTGTAAGAGATATGTGCATTTATCCAGTTTGACATTTTCATTTAAATGGTTGGATGGATGGATTTTAAAGAAGGACTTTAAAGCTGTTTAGATTTAGCCAGAATGAAACAGGCCCTGATGGAGGTACCATCCGTCACCATAATCACGCAGGCTTCGATCATCTAGCCATGTTCACGCCGGCACTAGCCGCTGGACACACGCCCAGGCCATGTCAGAGATGCTCCACTTTATTTTCGCCTGAGAATCTGTCGTCGTGTTCGGTTGGCGGGGAGTCCCTGACCGCCTGGCAGTGAGACTGAGGGGCGGGAGGCCCGCGTGAAGGTGAAACCAGCCTCGCAGGCTGGGCTGCAGACAGTCGGCTGCGCGATTAGCCGCTGGGCCCCTGTCCAGGGCCTAGCCGTGCGTTTTTATATTAGGGCTAGAGAATTAAAAACATCCTAAATAGACCAACTCAACAAGTATCTAGAAACCCACACACAAGCTATAACAAATTAAAGAATAACTACACCGTAACCCCTTCATAAGATGGTTAGGGGTGTCAGGTCCCTGAGAATGTGACAATTCGCAATTAATACTTGGGCACCTCTAACCTCTACCCATAAGTCTGCTAGCCTGAACGATAACATAAAATGTCTATATATTATTCATTTCTAAACATGAAGTACAGTACTGTACACGTTGCATGTCAAATTACTTTTTCATTACCTATCAAAATCTTTTAATATAATATGCAACCCATTTAAATTATGCCCCTTTATGTAAAAAGTTAGTACTGAATGCACTGGGAGTACTAGGTTTTGGACCCATTATTAAAAGTGCAAAATTAAAGGCACTGAAAAGTTTAAACATCACTGCGAGAAACATGAGATTCCACTGTCACAAAGACGACTGACATGTGAGTTTGGCTGGTTGCCGAGATACGTGCCACGCCCCAAGCCTAGACTTTCAATATTAAAGATACAGTGTGCACTTACACTAACAAATATCATGTATTACGAATATTTATATATTATATGATTTTTTGTGATCCAAATCATTATCTGCATTGTCCTTGGCTCACGCATCTGCGAGTTTCTGTGTTCGTTCCGCAAGCTTCCGAAACATTCCCGTTTAATTGTTCATGGCCATGGGCGCACAAATAAGCGAAACTGCGGATGTGAGATACGGCAATGTGCCCCTTACGTAAACGTGTGTGTGAATGGTGTGTGCGCCCTGTGATGGGTCGGTGCGCAAGAAATGTGGGGGTAGAAAATGGATGGAGGGATGGATTTAGCCCTTATTAATACCAGACTGTGCTGATTTAAACATAATAGTGTGTGTCAGGTTTATTTATTTTATAGTAGCTCATTACACAGCTCATTGACGGTCAGGAGTCAAGCTTCTGTAACGTTATATCAAAGGATCTGACAGTTTTGTAACTGTTCATGTCCAATTTTTTAAAAGCTAATAGCTAAAATATCAGTGTCACTACCCCAGCCGAAGCAGCGCTTTAAATGATAAATTACAATTAATGAAGTAAATTAGGTGGGAATAGTATGTTATAGTGACAGAAAGTTGTTGGTCATGGGTAATGATGGTGATGGCAAATTAAACTTCATGAACCACTTGCTGTATTTTCTGGCTCCACTAGATGGTGCTCTCTCTTCAGAAAGGGCTCAAAACATAAACCAAAGCAAACAAGGAGTGGAATCTAGTGGGGTCAAAAAATACAGCAAATGGTTCATGAAGCTTCATTTAGCCATCACTAGGTAATGGTATTTAACAGGGTAAAATTCCAAGTTCAGTATATGTGGATAGTAATTTATTTATTTATTTATTTGGGCAAAAATGCTAAATATGTTACATGATAAACATGGTATGAAGCAGGGTAACACTGCTACTCTGCACTGACGTTGAGCAGGATGTGCTTGAACTCTGTCTCTCTTGTCCTCCAGTTTGCCTGCCAAGTTGATCAATGGGGGCATTGCAGGGCTGATCGGGGTGACCTGTGTGTTTCCCATAGACCTGGCCAAGACCCGCCTCCAGAACCAGCAGAATGGGTCACGCCTCTATTCCAGCATGTATGTACGGTCTCCCCTTCGATGCCCCACGGTTGCATGTGCAGATGAGTTTTAACAGGCAGCCGGCCGCCTCTAAAAGCCTCAGACTTGACAAACCCAGAAGCACCTTGAGGGTTTATCACCACACTTCAAGTTCAAAGCAGCCGCACACTCAGACTTTGATCACTATGGCGATACCAGTGTGCCTCTGCTCTGTGGTTTAACTGTTTTTTGTTGTATTCTGCTTTGCTTAGGGTTGTGCTCATGTGTGACAAGCTTCAGTAATGCGTCTGTTATTTTAGTCAGGCTGTCTGCCTAGTAAATGACACACACTATGGCCCCTGTTACAGCATCTAACTGCATCACACACTAACTGTATTGGCTGTAACCATGGGTGATTTTACCGAGGGTGCACAGGATGCAATTGCACCCCCTACTGGTCAGATGAAAATGCTATTAGAACTTGTTAAGTGCAATAAAATCGTATTAGACAGTTAGATTTGAAATGTAGCTTGTGTTAGTCATATCAATGTGTAATAATTTGTTGCAAATGTACTTACTTTTTTATCTGGACGGCTGGTTGGGCTCTCTTACACTGCACCCCCTGTAAATGAAGCGTAGATTCGTCTCTGGCTGTCACCTTCATTTGCCCTCGTTTTTCTTGTCATTCAGTAGAGCCAGCAGATTCAGGGACAGCAAGCAGTACCTGCCCACAAGGCATTTCTTACATTTGATTTGTCGAGCAACGTCATTCGGTCCATCTGTCCAACCATGTCGCCCCTGTTTGTGCCTGCCTTGCAGGTCAGACTGCCTTATCAAGACCATCCGATCGGAGGGCTATTTTGGGATGTACAGAGGTAAGGGGCCAGGGACCGGCACCAAAAGGCGAGAAGCGCTATTGTCCGCTTTCTTCAGAGACCCAGCAATGCTCGCTGTCTTTCAGGGGCAGCAGTGAACTTAACCCTGGTGACGCCGGAGAAGGCCATCAAACTGGCTGCAAATGACTTTTTCAGACACCACCTCTCCAAGGATGGGTGAGCAACACCGTGGGATTTACACACCGATGGGCCCAAACAAACCAGATCTCACTGGCTCACATGTTTATACACGCTGGCTTACACACAGACACGCTATTTACATGCAGCACTGTGCAAATGTCTGAGGTATCAATGCATCCATTTTCTGTACCTGCTTATCCTATGCCGGGTCGCGGGGGGTCCAGAGCCTATCCTGGAAGCTATGGGGGCAATGCAGGGAATAACCCAGGATGGGGCACCAACCCTTCGCAATCAAAGAAAATGTTTTAAGATATTTATCTGGGTAGTAAATGTATATTTGCTTAGAAAAAGAAACACAATTTAAATTACTGTCAATGCAAGTTAACAGCAATACAATAAAAATCTAACAAGAATTTCTTCTCCTACAAAAATTCACTGATATCTAGTTGGATGGTTAGATGAACACCGCTTCAGTTCCCAAACCTCAGCCGTTCCATGTATTTGTTAAATTTTACCAACGGCTCAGTTAATCAATTATCTTAATTAGCTAAATAACTCTTGAACTATTGATTAGCTATATGAAGTGTGTTAGTGGCCAAGTCAAAAAACTACATAGGCATATTGGATGGTTGATGCAAATCCTGGGGTGATTTTAGCAGAGGTTTTGAAATGGCTAAGCTAACACACTTTGACAAATGACAGGCATAACATCATAGTTTCACACCAGCATGAAGATCATTTAAACATCATTTTGTTTGACTCACTAAGACTTAGATTTGACTAAGACTCACTGTATGTGTATGTGTGTGTGTGGCCCTGAGACTCACACCACTGCCAGTTAGAGTAGTGCTTATGTACTATAGCCCTCCAGTTGCCAGTTAGTAATGGCAGCAGCCACAATCTACCAACCAGTAGTCTGGGGCTGAGCAATGGCTAAAGAACCAATTATACTAGAAAAAGTATACAGATCAGTCATTTCTGAGAACATAGATCAATCACTCCTGGATATCAATATCAGGAATATACCACAGTCAATTTCCACTCACCCCCATTCAATAATTAAACTGTTAAGCATGTGCAGTTATAATTTTGGGTTAATTATGTTGGAAAACAGTTCTGGTGTTGATTCCTAAAATATGTCGTATACAAACATAAAAACGCTTTTGATTGTGTTTCCCAGTGGAGATCACATGTATCAAGCTTCTAATGTATTTTTGCTTGTATGTCGCGTCGGACAAAAGCATTGGTGAAATAAATAAATGTAGAACTAAATATAAATGTCGGCAGTTTGACGTTAATGTTTCTAATGCACAAAAGCAACACGTCAGCTGCATCATAATAGCGTCAGGTTACAAATATCAACACGACATGTAGGATTGTACTTTGTGTTACATTGTTCAGCTCCATTCAGTGTCGCCATGACTACTAAAAGCTCCGGGTAGTTAAATTATTGATTGTTTTGACCTGACCGGCTTGTGAATTATTAATATGATTCAAAGCTCAGTATACACTGTCTGTTGGGCAGCTGTGTTTGTGTAGCAGCTTAGCAAAAGTGTAGTAGGGGCAGACAGCTAGGCTTCTGGGGGAGATTCCTGACAGTTATTCCTGCGTTTTGATGACATATGTGGATGACAGACTGTTTGGGTGCAGCCTGGGCTATGTGGCGGGCTGAGGCGTGTGTGACTCAGGGGTGATCAATCGCGGGGAACCTGCAGTGCTAACGCGAGGCGCTCATGCATTTTATGCACCATCAACAAAAGCTAAAATAAGACAATGCTAACTTATTTTGGGACATGGCCCCATTGGGCTACCTGCTCAAAGATGACTTCGGCTTGGTTGCCCTGGTTACTGTTGCAGAGTTTCGTCTGTGTCGCTTCATTAGTACACCTGGGGCGTGGCTTGCTTAATGAGTCCAGGCCCCAGGCAGACCTGCTGGGAGGTGGCAGGTGGCCAGAACGTTTATTTGTGCGTACATGCAAGTGTGCCTGGGAGGAAGCCATCACAGCTTCATCTTCATATGAATAAAATTCTGATTCAGTGAATATCGTTAAGGTGTCTTTGACAAGTCAAGATGGACAGGTTCAAAAAAATATATATCTGCCTCAAAGCCATAGCGCCTGCCTGTCATCCTTGAGTACAGAATTACCTAGCCCAAGGACATAGATCTGTCGGTCTTCCTGAGTAAATAGATCGGATGTTCCTAAGCATCACTCAAACACCAAAATAAATGGCCAGGAGCTACACATTCAGTTCAATGGCGTTCAGTATGGCATTCCATCCAGGGTGTGCCCTGTTTATTCTGGGGAACACTGCAGCACTGTAGTGAAAAAGTGGCTGAAAGATGGTATGACATGCAGGAAATCTGTGAGGTTTGTGTCGTATTTGTGCAGGACCTTGTGGGTTGAGCCAGACAGATGGGCAGTGGTCAGATCCTGCATCTGGTTTAGGAGACCATAGTTACGTAAGCCGGTGAACCCGGTCTTTGGGGACCCCCAGACAGTTCACGCTTTTGCTCCCTCCCAACTCCCTACCATGGAGCAAAAACGTGAACTGTCTGACAGCGAGCTGGGAGGGAGCAAAAACATGAACTGTCTGGGGGTCCCCGAAGGACCGGGGTGGGAAACACTGACGTAGGCAATAGCAGCAGAGTCCTCTTATCACCCTTACCTTAGCGTAAGAGTGCGCCTTAAACCCCAGGGAGAGCCTGGGTTTAGCTGACAGTAATTACTGGCAGCTGGGTGCTGTTGGAGCAGTGTTGCCCCCCCTGCTGCTCCCTGTATGCCCTGCTTCACTGGCATGGCTCCGTCATCACATTGGATGGATGGATTTTGGAACCGTTCTGGTTTTTAATCTGGAAACATTGTAGTATTAGTATTGCCAGTAGGGATCATATGACCCCAGCTGAATATTAATCTGATGAAAAATCTGACCAGCAGTGAAGACAGCATGTGATTCAGTGTTATAGAAAAAAACACAAAGTATGGAAACTGGAAGGATTAAAGATTATAATGCTGTCGAGCGGCTGCAGCAAACTAAAAGGCTACTGTGCTGTACAAGAAATTAAGGACAAGTTATTTTTTTCTTCACAAGAATAATTGCTGTGTAAAAAATAGTGAGAATAGGCATGATGGGTCACACGTAACACCCATGGTTATTTCTGATTTGCAGAAAGGCTCTCGCTTGATGATAGATGAACTCATTGCTGTGACGGCAGAAACACTGCAGACTGCAAGCCTGCTGTAGGAGACGACAGACGTTAAAGGTGCTATACAGAGTGGTCTTTGATCAAGGCGGACGGACAGTGTGGATGTCCAGTGGATTTCACTGGGGTCTTTGCTGGTACTGAAAGTGGCTCAGATGAGGAGTAGAGTCATTAGCAGAGTCACTGACCTGTGTTGCTAAGAGAGATTTGATCTGGAAGCAGGAGGGTGGCCAGTGACACTGGGCACTGCAGAAATGTCAACCTGCATGCTCGACAGCATGGGAACATGCTGGATTTTGTAGTTTATTTAGTCATGCAGGAAGCAAATACTTTGCAGAATTCAGGAGAGAATCTATAAAAAGCCATCTTCATGTTCAGGGTGTGCTTCTCGGTTAGAAGGAGCAGTATATTTAATTAAATATTAAATTACATTTTACAGTAGTAATATGAGGGATATTTCACACTGTCTGAATGGAACCAGACGTATTATGTCAAAATTAATTGGGAAATTCCACACAGATGCTCGGCGCTTCTTATCTTGGTGCCAACTCCTTTGGGGTCAGAAGCTGGCTCATCTACCATAAATAACATGCTTGAAGTGTATTTATTAAATAATCACTGTCTCCCTTTTCCTCTCAGTCAGAAGCTCACCCTCCTAAAAGAGATGCTGGCTGGATGTGGGGCCGGGACATGTCAGGTAGGGCTGTTCCCTCTCTCTGTGCATGGTACAGATCTGATCTCCCCTCATGAGCCCAGTGTAGGGCTGGCTTCTATATATACACAGCTTACAGCTGATCTTGCTTAATGTAGAGTCAATCTCTCTTAATGTTGGACTGAACTCCTCACTTTTAACAGAATTTAGGGTTTACCTAAGAGAGAGCTGATCTCTCTCTTAACGTAGAAATAATCTCTGCATGTGCACAGTTTAGGGGTGGCTTCATTATATACACAGTGTAAAACTTATCTCTCTTAATGTAGTGCTGATCTCACTTCATTCAACAATGTAGGGCCAGTCTCCATCTTTACACAGTGTAGGGCCGATCTCTCTTCATTTACACTGTATAGGGCAGATCTCTCTTAATGTGCAGCTTGTCTTCCCATGTGCACAATTTAGAGCTTGGTTCTGTTTAACCCAATGCAGAGCTGATCTCTCTTCATTTACAGAATACACAACTGTCCTCTTTATGGATATACATGCAGAGCAGTACACATTGTGGTCATCCTCGAATAACAATTATAGCCTTAATAAAACCTTGCAGAATAATATAGCACTGTTCTGCTGAATATTTGTGTTAAAGCAGTGAAAGAATTTTCTCTGGGTTTGCTCTGCCTTGTGATGTCCTTGTGAATTGTTTGCTTTGGCTGCCAAGTCCAGCGTTGCTTGTTTGTTCTGGATACTTGGTAACGTTGTGTCGCTGTCTGTGGTTAAAGGTCATTGTTACTACTCCTATGGAGATGCTGAAGATTCAGCTGCAAGACGCTGGACGACTCGGTGAGGAATTGAAAAAAATAGGGAATTTTCAAGGACACAAAAGTGTTAGGTTACATAAATGTATAAATGCTGCCCTCGTGTGGTCAACATTATGTATGTTTATTTTTAGTGCCGTTGTCTCATTGCCATTCTGTCGTTCTCTCTTAGACAGGGACACTGTATCTTAGTAACGAAATGTTTATTTGCACATAGATATCTGAGTTTGTTTTTGTCTGTCTTATCCGTTTTTCACCCTTATCTTGTCTGTGTCCCCTCTGGTTTACCCCTAACCCCTGAAGGTCTTTTTTGTGAGTGACTTTGTCTATCCATCTGTTGGCCTGTCTCCATCATTTTCTGTGTCAGACTCATTCACCTGGGGCATTGTGGGCTCTTCAGCCTAATGTGATTACATCATGCTGATGATGTCATACATGTAATGTCGCTCTCCTTAGAGGCCCAGAGGAAGTTAATGCCCGAGGCAGCGGGGAAGTCCGTGGGAGCCAAGTCTCCCACAGCTATGCAGCTGACCCGCGATCTGCTGAGGAGTAAAGGCATCGCAGGACTCTACAAAGGGCTGGGAGCCACACTGCTCAGGTACACTCCACTGTGCAGTACACACACACACATGGGAACATGCGGATCAGCACACACGCTAAGGGAACATGCGGATCAGCACACACACTAGGGGAACATGCGGATCAGCACACACACGGGAACATGCGGATCAGCACACACTAGGGGAACATGCGGATCAGCACACACACTAGGGGAACATGCGGATCAGCACACACACTAGGGGAACATGTGGATCAGCACACACTAGGGGAACATGCGGATCAGCGCACACACTAGGGGAACATGCGGATCAGCNACACTAGGGGAACATGCGGATCAGCGCACACACTAGGGGAACATGCGGATCAGCACACACACGGGAACATGCGGATCAGCGCACACACTAGGGGAACATGCAGACCAGCACACATGCTATTCGAACATGCGCTGAGTGCACACACCAGTATGCAATGTGCACACACACTAGTGATACACATAGATTAGCACACACTTACTTGGAGAGTACACAGATCAGTACACACACTAGTGACACATATAGATTAGCAGTCACGCTACTGGAACATGCAGATCCAAACACATGCTAGTGACAGATGTCGTTTAGCGCACCAATGCTAGGGGAACATGCGGATCAGCACATGCAAGTTAAGGAGTCATATAAATCAAAAGGCATGTTAGGCGAGCGTCAAATGTGTATGAACACTCCAGAGGAATGCTCAGATCAATAGCCTCACTTAACGGAAATCCAATACGCTTATTTACTGAAGGGCGAGACACAGATCACCGGGAGGACGTCTCTACTTGCGCTCAGTCGGAGGATTACTTTGTGAACTAGGAAGCATTTCACTTCAGATTAAGTATTAAAAGAGTGTAGTGTAACTAAAATCTATTTCATTTTCCAGTCACCTGTGCATCCATTCATTCGTTTGTGCATAGCTGCCTTTCCAGTGCAGAGTCCTTCTGAACAACAAGAACAACAATAATAATAATAATAATAATAATAATAATAATAATAATAATAATAATAATAATAATAAATTAGGAAGAATAGTCATGGAAGGTGGATGGCTGAATTTAAATTTGTATATATTTATTAATATATTTTATTATTATACAGTACTCACAGAATGTCTGGGGATGCTTGCTTAATTCAGTAAAAATATTCCAAATTTATTGGTTTTACAGCAAAAATCATTACTTTATTCCTTTGTTTATAAAAAATATATGTATATCACATTAGAAACAACCAGTAGATTTAAGTAAGACATTAATTTCAAGTAGTAATAAACTGAAATCCAAATTACAGTTCTGGAAGAGCTGTTCTGAGTTAAAAAGTTCATTGACAAGTGGTCTCATTGGGTGCTTTTTAATTAGTAACACCTTTGCAATAACATAAAACACCAAACATTTGTGTTCAGTATCCCTTTGGAACTGAATGAGTCAGTCAAAAAATTATGACGCTTTATAAAAAGAAAATGTCTGTGTGGAAGACATGTGCAGACATCTAAAACATTGCCTTTTATGAAACCAACAAATCTGCAAAATTTGCAAGAGTTAAACAAGCGGCCCAAGACTTTCTGTGAGCTCTGTATATTTTATGCTCAGGTGGCTAAACAGATTAAAAACAGAATTAGAAGGAAAAAAATTGTGCTATAAATAACTGCGTAGCTGCTATAGCAGGTAGAAATGATATTTGTTAAATGCTGAAGTTTGCAGTGTGTGAGCACACTTTGGCCTCAAGAGGGCAGTCCTGGTCTGTTTGGTCATATTTACGTTCAGATGGATCAGGTCATTGGTCAGGGTGAATGTCTGTGATTGGACGGCATCTGGCCGTGTCCGTGTGACAGCCTCCCTCTCCCCCTCTGCCCCAGGGATGTGCCCTTTTCCGTCATCTATTTCCCTCTCTTTGCCAACCTGAATGACCTGGGCAAGCGTGGTGCTGAGGGTCCTGCTCCCTTCTACGTGTCCTTCATCTCAGGCTGCATTGCAGGCAGCACGGCTGCTGTGGCTGTCAACCCTGTGGATGGTGAGTTGGGGGGGGGGGGGGAATCTGCCCCCCATTGTAGTAACTATGTGTGGCCAACAGGGGGCCCCAAAACCCATAAATGTGTGCAAAAATGGTCATTGAACTGTATGTGAATTGATGTATGTGTTGTCTGTGCATATGCATAGGTGTGTGTACAAGCATTTTTAGCAGCATGAATATGTGTGTTTTACTGTATGTCTGTGTGTGTATGTAATACTCCATGTATATGAATGTATATGTTTCATTTATTGAATATTTGTGCTCCTACTGTGCACGTTAATGATTTTGAACTTTGTAAAGTGATAAAGACCAGACTGGTCTGTGTATGTGAATCTGTATTCACTGTTACAGTGAAAAATTGTGTATGAGTGTGATTACTTGCTGTTACAGTAATAAAGACCAGACTGCAGTCTCTAACGCGCGGGAGTGAGGAGGACACGTACTCTGGGGTGACAGACTGCATCAGGTAAACCTACAAGACATATCTACCTTCTCACTAAAACCTTGTGCTCCACAAACAGCACCGACTCTGATGTTAACACACTGCTGTGTGCGGCTGCTAATTATCTCCTATTTTATTGTTTTTCTGCATATTTTCCATAGCACTCTATGTAATAAACACGGCTCTAAAATGTACCTGTTGATTCAGTGTTTGTTTTAATGACCTGGTTTTCTAATCTACCTTTTCATACATAAGTAACTATACAAACTGTATTCAGTGTATACAGTGTTTGGGGACCCCCAGACCAGGTCCAGGTTTTTGCTCCCTGCCAGACATTTTTGCAAGGAGCAAGAATGTGGACTGCCTCGAGGTCCCTGAGGACCGGGTTGGGAAACACGGACATAGGCAGTTACAAGAGAGTTTCCTACAGGGGAGTGAAAATGTGGACTGTTTGGCCGGAAGCAGGGATGGAGCAAAAATGTGGACTGTCTGTTGGTCCCCGAGGACTGGGTTGGGAAACACTGCTGTGAAGTATAAATGATAGACAGAAGGGGGCAGTGTTGCTTTTTAAAAAAAGGATGATAGTAAAGGTGACACAAGCAGACCACCTCATGCACTTTTCTCCACTCCACAGAAAGATCCTTCAACGGGAGGGTCCCACTGCCTTCCTGAAGGGGGCGTATTGCCGAGCCCTCGTCATCGCCCCCCTGTTTGGCATCGCTCAGGTGGTCTACTTCCTGGGTGTAGGGGAGTTCATCCTCAGCTTCCTTCCAAAACGGGGCAATTAACCCCCTCCTCTCCCCCTTCCCATCATGCAATGCACCAGCTGGGGCCCCTACCGCAGTGGAATGGGGGGGGGGGGGGCTTACTTGGGGTCCCAGCACATTGAAGACCAGCTGAGATCTGTGTAATAGTGTATTATTGAATGTTGTGCTTTTTTGGAGCGAGTGTATGTGGGAAATTTGTTTGCCAAGCTGCATTGGGTGGGGGAGACAGGGGTGGCTTCTGATTGGCTAGCGTGCCTGCCAGCCTGTAATGTCACTGTAATGCCCCCACCTCAATCACCTTATTCATCTAATTAATCAATGTGATATTATCAAAACTGCCACGTGATCAAATGCTGCCCCACACAGGCAACCATCTCAGTTTCTGTAAAACACCCAGTTTCTGCAGACGGAAGCGTTAAACCATCGAAGCACTCAGGTCGGTCAGGCTGAAAAACGGCAGCATAACGGTGCATTTCTGTTCACTTTTTGCGGGAATCAGATCATTAAATGCAACAGGTACTTAAACTCAGCAGGCCTATGAACCAGCCATGCAAAGGAATCTGGGCAGAATGCAATCCACGATGCAACCTAGCATGCGCTGTAGGCGGGCGGCTGGCTCGACTTGTAGGAGTCGTCCGCTAGCCTTGCAGAGGACCTTGCTCATTATAGCGTCCCCGAACTCTGGGAAATTTGTTTCCCTCTCGGAAAAAGTATGTTGGGGAGATGGGAACACAAGTGAGACTTTAATGTGGGACGTCTATATGATCGTACTACATGGGCACTGGGTCCAGCGATGAGAAAGCAGGCAGCTTCAGGGTTCAAGTTTTTCTTGTTAGGCTTATTATGTGAGAACCAAACAGGACAAGTTCTAGGAGGCTGCGAACAGAAGAAGCACTGAACCACAGCTTGAGCCGACGGCTTTACTTTTGCAAGAAATCTCCTCAGGAGTCAAGAAATTTGGTAAGGGAGACTTGCAAGTCAGATAGTCTGCCCCCTGGTGGTGGAGATAATCGTTACTTAATTGATTGATGACACCTCCCTTGCTGCTTTACAGGCATGCCAGTACCACCCACACTAAGTAGCTGTGACAGAATCTGCTTTTCTGATTGGATGGATTTTTTTTCCCTTTGTTGCGCCTGTTTAAGTGCAGTTATCAGTAGGCAGACCAGGCAGGTTTAAACCCTTTGAAGGAGCTAACTTATATGTAATGGGACCAGAGCCAGAAATCGACATTGTGAGTTTGTCCGCCTGTCTGGATGTCGGTACATGTAGACCTAGCTGGAGCTAAACGACGCTGCTGGCTTGGGATGTGTCGCATTTTAACGTCACGACTGCATTGTGATCATGAAGTGCAATTTGGCAATATGCTATCATGTCGTGGAGCAGAATCAGCTTGTCTATATATCGATCTCTTGTTTTTCTTAATATCTCTATATATTTGTATGTATCACCTTATTGGGTCTATCTGCGTGTCCACATATAGTGTATATGTGCAGAGATGACACAGATTTTTAGCTGTGTCCTCTTGTTGTTGTTATTTTGAATGTGTAGCTTATTTGCACAGCTACCTCTCCCAGATCCCGACTCGGTACTTGCTGTTGCGCCTTGTAACAGCAGAAATCGATGGGGACAGTGATTCCTTACCACGTACTGTGTAAGAAGGCAGGTGGAACATTAAAAGCAATTCCCTAAATCCCGAAAGAACCCCCCCCCCCCGAGTCTCACCGCTGCCATTGAGGGGGTTAGGGCTGGAGGGTGGGGCTGCCACAGTTTTGGCGATTAGGAGTCGCTACAAGGCTTCCCCAGTAACTCGGGCACTGGAGCCAAATCCTCATGCCAGACACCCATCATGTGACCAGTTTGCAAATCCACACAAATGATAGCCAGTACAATAAGGCGTAGGTTCCGTATATCTAATCATACATGATTAAGTGGCATTTTTGCTTGATTACCTATTTGTATAATGTCTCTTTGGGTGCAATTTCAGATGCATTGAGTATAAGCCATGGGGGGGGGGGGTGCTGTGTGCAGCTCCAGCACTGTTCCCGTCACCTGACATGTGGGTGTGTCCTTTTTAGACTCCTCCTCCCCACGAGCATGCTGACCAAACAGGGGAGGTGCTCATGTCAATCATCTAGTATGCAAGGCTAAGTTGGGACCAGTCAGGATTAAGACAGGGAAAACGGCTGAATTTCCCGTGACCTCCCAGTGACCCCAGTTATACTGTTATGGCATTTATGAATATTCCATCTGCAGGCTCATCTCATATTAGCATTGTCAATATCGTTATTGATATTCTTATTAGAGCTCCTTAGATGTTAGGGCATACCCTTTAAGTGTGATGACATGTCGATTTGTTTCCTGCTCTGTGAATGTGAACAGAATATGTGAAGATGTTGTGGTGACCGGCTGTGTTTTCATGTGTTTTTATGCGTGTGTTGGTTTGGTGCCGTACTAATCCGTGCTCCATGTTTAGCTTTGGTGGGGAGGGGTCTTGCAGGGGGTGGGGCACACAAGCCCCACCCACCCATCCCTACCCATCTTTGCCCCACCCCCCAATTTCACTCCCTCTTACGGAGGACCTAAACACCAAAAACACCCCAACAAAAATTCAGAAACAATAGATATTGCTGTAGGAAAAGCACAAGGACAAGTGTGAGAGACGAGCACAGAAGCGTCACTGAAGGTGATCCCCTTTCAGCCTGCAAAACAATCATCCCCATGCAGGGACAGCACACAACAAAGCAGGATATGTAGGGATGAAACAGGCACTAGTTTACAGCTTGTAGTTGTAGATGCTACTTTTACAGAATGTAAAACGGTGACGTTTTTTTGGGTTTACGGAAGTGAAATAGTCATTCAATCCTGGCGCTTTTTCTATAGACTATTTATGTATATATATTCTACATAAATCTCTATGTAATACCTACGTATTTATAAATGATAAGTTAGATGGGAGAATGTATCCAATATTAGGGTAGTACTGTATGAATATTGTTGATTAGTTTTGATTAGATGTTGCCCGGGTAACGCTCATCATCCGCTCAATGTTCTGCGTTGAGGGAGCAGCTTATCCGAGACGTCTGGAATACTTTGTACGCAAGACCAAAAGCGGCACACCTAAGCAGTCGTACACTAGACGGGGCTTCAGCTTCCGGTCCCTCTGCTCCCCCTCTACCTTCCTCCAAGAGGAATCGTGCATCGGAGCACTTTAGAAACACAGTGGCCCCTCATGTCTGATGGAGGGAGGGGGGTGTTGCAGAACAGTTATGTGTATGTACGTGAGTTTGTATGTGTGTGTGTGTGTGTATGTGTGAAAGAGAAACGGAAGCACTGCATTGTGATGTCATCGTGACCATGTGATGAATTCAAATGAAACAGACTAACAGTGCTGTTCCTTTGACACAGATTGATGTCCAATTAAATGAAATGATTATGTGTCCCTGCCTGAGTGTCCTCTTATTTCACTCCTAGGATAAATGCGATTCCCCTGGCCTTGAAACTGGCCACCCCAAACCATTAAATGGTTCCCCAGCCTCTCAGGTTCTCACTTCCTGGTATCCTCACCACATGGTGATAAATTACTGTTTCGACCCAGTGCTGCAGCCTGGTCTCCATTAGAACAAGAAGAAGCAGGTGTCCGGTCCCCCCGAATGGTCTCTTAGTGGCTTTTAGTTTTACTGTCCATATAATTACATAGCGGATGTGATTATGGTTCCGTATTTACTTTGAGGTTCATTATTTCAAGATGTATTTAACTGCACGACTTGTTTCGCAGTTAATTCTGACAGTCTTTGCAGAACATTGTTGATGTGATGGATACCTGAGCATATGTCACCTGTTAGGTTCTACTGTGCCACATTTCATGAGCCAGATCTGTCGAAATTTGAACGAAATATGTCTCTGACAAATATTGACATTGAGGCGTCTAACTTAACCAGCCATATGAAGTAGGCAAATCAATCAGCATGGGCTAAGCTGGGGCCCCCGAGTTGTTACAGAAGCATTTATTACAACATTTTATGCTGTAGGTACAGTAGGGTTCCACCCCCCTAAATTTGGCCCAGGTAATCATACCCCCCCCGGGGCCACGAATCCATTTCTAAAATATTACAAAATGGTGAATCAAAAAAGAGCCACACACTCAAGAGGGAATGGAAATTATTTTGTTGAGTTGTAAAGCTTTTAAACTTACATAAGTATTCTGCACAGAGACAACTTTATTGAGGTTAAATGTATCATACTTCTGGGGGCTGACTTTATCATCCAAAACTCCAGAGATAACACGTTTGAAATATTTCTTTTATCAGAACCCAAAGTTATGTCTAGGTTTTAATGTTTTACAGAAGATTCTGCTTGTGCTTGTGGAATGAATCACCAGCTTTCTGTGAGTTATTTTTAAGTCATCGCCTTGCTGTCAATATGACGACTCATCGGCCATTCCTGCCTTTTAAGAATCGGAAATTCTGTGTCGTGGGGCAATTTTTTATGTAACCTGTTTTCAAAGTTTTTCAAGATGCTTCCGAACTCTGTCCATCTTCTTTGTAACTCAATCTCCTATAATGCTTGAGAGATACTGTATATACAATACACTCATGCAAAAAAAATGAAGAACCGGAGGACGTCTTAATGAAATTGTACATGAAGCATCCAGCTTACATGGGCTGCAAGCTTGATAGGCTGCAGTGCTGCAGATCAGGCAATTGGACAGTCCACTGTGAAACAGAACATATTCGCCATTGGCTACAACAGATTATGTACGATGGTGACGTGGCCCTACCTCAAGGCCTCTAGATGTAGCTGGGCTGCATACACAGCCAGATGTGTTCAGCTGAGACGCTCTGTAACTTCACCCCAAGGTCGTTTATCCCCTTTATCTTCACTGCTGCTGTGTCACCCTGCTTCGTTTGTCTGAGAGATCATTATTTACCTCGCTTCAACGCTGCTTTCACATTCCGCTAGCATCTTGTCTTTTCAAACAGCGTGTTTTCAATTTGCAACTGTGTAACATTTCACTTCAGCATGAATGGCTGGAAATGGTTCTAGAAGGAAAAAAAAACAAATGGATCAATTCCAAGGTCATATATTCCCATCATCTTCCTGGGTGTGATTCATTACAGCTCATAGACGTTTTCAGTGACCTCTTTAAAGCTCTTTTAAATCCCATTGTGTAAGAAGTAGCCTACTCAGATTTAACTATGGCAATTATTTTCTTGGAGGAAATGAAAAAAAAAATATGTCAAGGTCATTTTATTGCTTTTTGTGTTGCTGATTTACCATGTTAGAGATACAGGCATCTCTGGGGCTACCTTGATTTCTAGTGAACAAAAACATGCAAAAAGTCCAATTTTACTTTTAAAAGAAACAGACAAGTAGAAATTTATAATTGATGTCATTTTTCGACTTTTCCTCTGCTCTTGCCTGCAGTTTCAAGTAATGCCTCTTTTTGTAGGTTATGCTAAGTGCTTCAGTGAGTGTTGAATATCAAACCACTTTAAAACGGTCCGTGGGCTTAAGATGCAATTTAGTCAAAATCACGTTAAAAGCGGAAAACAATGTTGTAAGAAGGCCTTTGGTTCAAAGGCTGCCACTCTGTTTAAATCCCATTGAAAGAGGAGGCAATAAAATAAAGGGGAATAGATCATATAACAATGCAGCCCGGTAAAGCAATGCTTCACAAATCAGGACGCACGCCAGACACCTTCAAAGGCTGGGGAGTTTTTTCCCAGCAGCTCTCTCTGTCACAAAGAGCATTTGTTACTGAGAATAACACTCAGTCAGATTAAGGAGTAATCCGAAAATTGCGAAATGAGCAACTTGCTTTTGATGAAAGCATTGACTAATCAGCGAGATAATAAACGAAAAAGGAACCATTTCGTTAAAAATTAATTTCTTTGGTCAAATATCTCCGCCCAGATTGGCTATTCATGAAGCTACCATGAAGCACAGTTTAACAATAATCTCTTTCACATCATTTTCTTTCATAACAGAAATGTAGATCCTGTTTCGGCTGTTTGTATTGGAATTTAATGTAAAAGGAATTTAAACCACCTATAGGGGGCATCAGAAGCTTTCCAGTGGTTGCTAATACCTGTGAGACAATACTTTCATAAAAGCATGCCATTGTTATTCATTTATTTATGCTTATTTTGAATCCTTCTAGCCCAGCATATTGCTACGGCAACAATAGTGAAACTGCTGCCTCTGGTGTTTAACGCAATGCTGTTAAAGAGAGATGCACACATATAAGCTGTAGGAAGGGAAGACGAAATGTTCCTGATGGCCATCATCTTCCCTATGCATCCATCCATTTTCCCATTATGCCTTATCTAATGCAGGATTGCTGGGAGCCTGTTATAGGAAATATAAGGTGTAGAAGGGATGGTAATCCATTGCCGGGCACACAAACACACGAAGGAAAATACAGGAAAATCAGCTCAACAAATTAATGGGTTTTTTAACTGTGAAGAGAACATGCAAAATCACATGCACAGAACCAGGCTTTAAATTTCGCCGTAAATCTGTGTATGTGTGCTTATGAGAGTCTTTCTGGGTGCACCCTACCTTACATCGCATGCAACCTGCAACATGCTCTGCATCACCAGGACGCCAAACGGATCAGCAGTTGATATGTCTGTATTTCCTTAAATATTTGCAAAGTGTCGCGATGGGTTGGCGCCCCATCCTGGGTTGTTCCCTGCCTTGTGCCCATGGCTTCCAGGATCGGCGCTGGACCCCTGCGACCCTACATAGGGCAAGCAGGTGTAGAAAATTGATGGATGGATGGATGGATTAGCGAAGTGCTATTTGTACTTAAATTGTGGAAGTGTTTAGGCCCCATATACAACTGCTAGATTTAATTTCTTTAAAGTTTGCAGCATTTGAAATAAATTGCTTTGAAATAGGAGTTAATGTTTGTTTTACATAAAACCAAATCCATACTTTCAAATCAAAAGACCACAAAGTAAATTTAAGTAACATGAATGAAAATAACAAGGCATTCAAAACCATTTGCTGGGGAAACATTTGTTAATGTAAACAAAATTACCTTTAAGGAGCCACATAATTATTTGAGTGGCCTCTTTGTGTGTAGTACCGGTGTTTCAGAAGGAAGTTTTACGATTTTGAAATTACAACCATCTCACTGCATGAGATTGACTTGATCAGAGAGTGAATATCAAGCAAAGGGTTGATGACGAATACGAGGAAGCTTTAAAAGCAGGTCAGGGATAAAGTTATTGAGAAGTAAGAATCGGGACAAGGGCAGAAAAAAATATGAAAGTGTCTGATTATGTGAGCACGGCCCACTGAATCATCTGGAAGTGTAGCGCGTCGCGCAACACAGGCTTCGCCTAGATCAGCTTGTCCAAACTAAGCAGCCTGGCAAGGGGGGGGGGGGACGCCACTGTGAGGCCAGATACAATTCTGAACGAGCTCCGGAGTCCAATGGCTGAGATGCAAGAAAATGTGCATCGGTCAACAGTATCCGGGATGCTAAGAAGGAAGCCTGAATCAGCAGGGAGCGACGATGGAGGATATTGCTAAAATTAGGATTCCTCAGAGTCCATATGGTGTCAGCAACAGAAACACTTGAGTGGATTCTGCAGGGATGTGTCAAGTGTTCCGGTCAGCTGGGACCAAATTGCAACGTTTTGGTCAAAACGCCATGAATTATCTTTGTCGAGCATCCAATGCACCGCATCAGTCCGTGAACACGATCCCTACAGCCAATGCGTGTGGGGGCGTTGGGGTGTATTCTGAGAGTGATTCTCAACAGCAGCGACTCAGGAGATGGGTTAGCGCTGGAGGAAAGCCACACTGACACGGGTACGGGCAAACGCTACAGGAGAACCACGTCTGCACATTCAACTAGACATTCAAAACTGGGGTAAAAACTGCAGCATCCAGCAAAACACTGACCCACGGAGAGTCTTAAGAATAAGGAGGCAGATGCCCTTGAATGGCTTAGTTCTGACTTCATGGATTTTGAGAATAAGTGGAAGAAAACTGCAATCCATAAGCAATCCCTGAGAAGCTTGAGAGAGACTGAGGAATATAAGCAATAAAGTTTAGTCTTCAGAGTTGGTACAAATTTACCCAAAAACACATCCATGTACCAAAGGTGTTTTCATTAAATATGGGGAAGTTAGGTGTTTGGTCCTTAGCCAATCAACATATTTTAATGTAAGAGAACATTAATTTTATTGGGAAATGCTCACATATGCAAAATGTATGTGCATCATATTATTAAATGTGACAAATGCAAACAGGACCCCTGTTATATTTAAGAATCTGAAGATTTATCTTGCAAAGATAAAGATGGTATGATGCAGTGCCAAACCAGATCTGAAGCCTTTCAGAAGATCAGCAGCACGGCCTGCTCTCCTCTGCATGCAGACACGGGGCAACCGGGTTACTGTTGAGATCAGGGTCTTGAATG